TCAGGAAGACTTCCTAGAGGAAGTAACTTCTAATCCAAGACCTGAAAGCTGAATAAGAGTTAACCAGATTATTTATATTTCTGGAAATGATGGAGTAACAGAGGCTGTATTTATTCTCCCAACATAAGTAACCACTAAACTAGACAAAAATATATGAACAGTGTTTTCAGTCATTGGACAACAGGTTCTTCACGGCTACCTGAGAGAGAAAGGAAACAGAAGAGGCAAACTCTGTAACTGCCCTGTATTTATTCCTAGAGGCAATTTCCTGACCACAGAGCAGAGAGGGAGGCCTCAAGCAGAGCACAGTGGTCTTGCTATATTAATGTGACGGAGATCAGAGCTCAGGGTTGAGGTGGCTAGAGGTTGCTAGACACAGCCGTGAAGAGGAGGGAGTTATGAAGAAAGAGACCTCCAGAGATCTGCATAAGGGTCCTCTTGAGTCTTTCCTGAACACAAGATGCACATTCATAAGGTAAACCCTCAAGAGGCCAGGCAGTGTGAGGCACCAAAGGTCTAGAGACAAACAGCTCTCACACAGAACTGGGAGGCAAATCAAGTTCCACCCAGCCAGAGTGGATGGTCATCACTGATTGTGCAGGAATTCAGTAGAGCCCTTACTGGGGGTTAAATTATTCTCTAGATTAAAAGCTACTCTAGACTCAACATAACTTAAAAACAAGCTTCAGAAGGATCAAACTGAGCCACAAGTAACTAAACCACCTATTAGAACAAGGGCCAATGCTTTAAAGGAAGAAAAAAAAAATCTAGTTACCCAGTAACATAAAACTCATAAAATGTCCAGTATACAAACCAAAATCACTAGTCATACCAGAAGCAGGAAATGTGACCTATAAAGAGGAGAAAAATCAGCTAATAGAAGCTGACCCAGAAATGACAAATGGTGGAATTAGCAGATGAGGAAAACACAAACACAGTAATGAGAAAAATGAAATATATGAGGAAAAAAGCCAAATGGAATATCCAGAGATGAAAAATACAATATTTTTGTAAAGATTTTATTTTTAAGTAATCTCTACATGCAGCGTGGGCCTTGAACTCACAACCTGGAGATCAAGAGTCACATGCTCTACCGACTGAGCCAGCCAGGTGCCCTGAAAGATGAAATATTTTCAATGAAAAATTTACTGAATGGAGTTAACAGCATATTTGGACGTTGCCAAAAAAAGAATCAGTTCAACCTAAAGATACAGTGATAGAAACTAGCCAAGATGAAACACAGAAAGATGGGGTGCCTGCAGTGGCTCAGTTGATTAAGTGGCTGCCTTTGGCTCAGGTCATGATCTCAGGGTCCTGGGACTGAGCCCCACATCGGGCTCTCTGCTCAGTGGGAAGCCTACCTCTCCCTCTCCCTGCTGCTCTGCCTACTTGTGCTCTCTCTTTAGCAAAACAAACAAACAAACAAACAAATAAACAAAATCTTAAAAAAAAAGAAACACAGAAAGAAAAAAACCTTGAGAGGTTGGGGAGGAAGAAGAGAACAGAGCCTTGATGACCTGTGGTGTGATACTGAGTGGTCTCACATATATTCATCTGGAATCCCAGAACGTGGTGGGGAGGGGGGCAGCTGAATAGTAAAGCTGCCTTCCAATTACTAGAATTCTACCTCTAAAAAAGTACAAGTCTGGACCCCCAAAAAACCTTTTCATACCACCTGAGATATTATCCACACATATTTTGGATATAAGGTAGTATATATTACTGAGAGTCTCTGGAGTTGAGAATATGGGCTGATATCATGATCCAAATATTCCTTCCCTAAATGTCAAACAACACTTGCTGGGCTGAACAAGTGTGGTAAACCTGTGACTTGATGTTTCATGAAGGGGTTTCCTGCCAGATGCTGCCGGACTTGACTCCGTTCTCACCTTCACTCCATCCTCAGTCCCCTTCCTCCTGACCTCTCTGCCATGGGAACCAGCAGTGGAGTAAGGCCCAGGAAGGAGCTCACAAGTGTCATTTCACATATTCGTTAACAATACTTTTTTAAGGTTGGAAGTCTAACAGATTGTTTCTTAAGATGTCACCACATCAGAAGGGCTACATCAAAATGCCAGCTGCCACCAGAAAAAGATAGTGTCATAGAAGATACAGGAATGTTTTCAAAACTCTGGGGTGGTCAACAGTGTACTGTGCTGATGTGTACATTAGATGTGCCCCAAGACAGTGATCGGTGACCTTGGCAAGAGCTCTCAATAGAATGGTGGGAACAGAAGACAGGTTCCAGTGGTTTGAATAGTGATAGGAAAGGGAAAGGTAAGTGGGAGTGTGGACAAATCCTTTAAGAAGTCGTGTCCTAAAGGAGACATGAAATTAGGGGTAAGAACTGAGGAGGGGGTGAATTGTTGAGCAAGAGTCTCCTTAAAATATGGGCACCTGGGTGGCTCAGTGGGTTAAGCCTCTGCCTTCAGCTCAGGTCATGATCTCAGGATCCTGGGATTGAGCCCCGCATCGCATCGGGCTCTCTTCTCAGCGGGAAGCCTGCTTTCCCCTCTCTCTATGCCTGCCTCTCTGCCTACTTGTGATCTCTGTCAAATGAATAAACAAAAAAAAACTTTAAAATAAAATTTAAAAATTAAAAAAAAAAGAGTCTCCTTAAAATAGGAGAAACTTATGAGTGTTTATAGCCTTGCTTAGAAGCCAAATCCAGGGCGCCTGGGTGGCTCAGTGGGTTAAGCTGCTGCCTTCGGCTCAGGTCATGATCCCAGGGTCCTGGGATCGAGTCCCACATCGGGCTCTCTGCTCAGCTGGGAGCCTGCTTCCCTCCCTCTCTCTGCCTGCCTCTCTGTCTACTTGTGATCTCTCTCTGTCAAATAAATAAATAAAATCTTTAAAAAAAAATTAAATTAAAAAAAAAAAAAAGAAAAAAGAAGCCAAATCCACACTCCACCTCTGGACAATAGGAGCACTAGAGCCCCAAGTCTGTTTTGTTGAACCCAGACTTGGTTCCTCTGAAGACTCCAAAGCAGCTTTTAAACTCAGTGAGAAGGGGGGGCCTCCATCAAAGTAAAGTTGGATCTCATTAAACCAAAGTGAACAAGCAGTAATGCATGCCTGGAACCCACAGGGCTCTCCAAGGTGGGTATGTTGAGCAGAGCCCGCTGCACGGAGACAGGCTCTGTGATGGTCACTCTGTGACAGACACACAGTTGCCTCAATCTATCCCAAGATGACCAGCCACCTGGGGCTTCCACAGCCACTTGGCTGCTTCCTGCTGAAAACAGCAGGGATTGGGAGAGGAACTGCCACCTAGCACCTTTGGACAATTGCCATGGCAACCGCAGGCCAGGTATTTTATTTCGGTCATTGCCTGGGAGTGGTCCTCCCACATATCCTGTTTTCCAGCGTTATGAGCTCATTATTGTGCAGCCCTCCCCACGTCCATTGATCTTACAAAACGAGATTCTTTGTCTAGTATCTTTCTCTGATGCCTAGAAAAATTTGCTCTGAGGTGTCTGAAATATGAGCCTTTTTATGCAAGTGCATAACAATCTGAAACTGAAACTGATCCAAGGAGGGAGGGTGCTCGCAGGATAGAAGGGCAATGGAGGCTAAGCAGAAGCAGGTGGAGAAAGTGTGCCTCTCCTGCTCCCAGCTCCAGGGCATCTCCCTCCCCTGCACGAGGGAGCCCAGGATGCTGCAGGGGACATGGTGGACACGTGGACCACACCAACACATGACCCAGTGAGCTTCCCAAGACAGCCTGGGCTATGTGGATCATTCTTCTCCACCCCAACCGCAGCACAGCCCTTATCTGAAAGAATGACGAGCCCCTGCCCCGAAAGGAAAAGATAGGAACAGAGTCAAGAAGGAGGAGAAAGAAAGACCAGGGTATGTAGAGGAAGACTCCTGGGCTCTGGTTTGGTTCAGTGGTTCTCAGCAAGCCACATACTAGAATTAACTGGAGCAAAAAAAAAAAAAAAAAAAGGCAAATGTCTGGGCCCCACCCTAATAGATTTAGTCAGTTGGGGTGCAGTCAGGTCATAAGTTTTTTTCTGAAGTACTTCATGGGTGGAGAACCACTAAGCTGCTCCCCTAAGTGCCCCGACTCTATAGGCAGAGCCCCAGCTGCAGCTCCTGGTCTCTTGGTTTCCTAGTCGTGTGACCTTGGGCTCCTTTGTTACTCAACATCTCTAAGCTTCCATTTCCTCCATGGTAAGCCTGTCTACCTGAGGGAGGAGTGGGGAGGACCTACATGAGGCACTGTGCCTAACAGAGTTCAGTGTTCAGAACGTTACTGTCGTTATTGAAACAGCAGTGGTGACTACTCTAGGGTCCTGAGTTTTAGTTACCTAAGGAAGAAAGTGCCACTGTCTCGTGACAAGGGGCAGAGACCTGTCCTTTCTTCAGGGGGAGTTGAGGGGAGTCAGTCAGAGCCAGGGCTGAGGACTTATTCTAGTCTAGTGCTGTTCACTTTGAGAGGACGGAAATGTTTCTCTATCCGTGCTGACAAGATGGCAGCCACTAGCCATGTGGGACTATGGGGCACTTGAAATGTGGCCAGTGTGAATGAGAGACTGAACTTGGCATTTTATTTAATTTTATTAATTTGAAGGCCAATGGCCACACATGGCTGATAGCTAGAGTGCTAGACAATGCAGCTCTTGACATGTAGATGTTTTGAGGATGAGAGGAAGACAGAAAATAAATAAAAATAGCTCTTCTGTTTCACTGGAGCTTCAAAATGTCCCACAAAGAAGATACAACAGGCATTGACAGGCTCATTTTATAGATTAGGAAACTTAGTCTCAGGGATATTAAAACAACCTGGCAAAGATTTTTTGAAGAGCATTAGAGGCAGAGCCCAGACCAGAGGGAGGCAGATTTCCGGACTGCAAATCTATTGTCAGTTGTTGGGAGACACTTTCTCTCTATGGGAGCATCTCACATTGGCTCTCCAGCTCCTCCTGCCGTCTCCCGGCAGGCTCTCTCCCTGGCACCCAGTGTCCTCCCCCTACCCACGGCACCGTGTCTCTCACCTGGAAGAGCTCCTGAACTTTCGCGTCCACCCACTGCTCCATCTCCAGCCAGCGCTGGAGCTGCCCCCGGTCATACTTCACCGTCAGCCGGCTGGGTCTCCGGGACCTGGACACTTTGGAGGGGTCGGCGTAGGACTTTGACTCTAAGTCTGTGGATGACGTCCTCCTCCTCCCAGAAGTCCAGTGGACCTTCTTACTGGAGTTCTCCCCATCGGGGTTGGGAGATGTGCAGGAAGCAGGGCTTGAGGACAGCATGGAAGGACTGGCGTGAGCCAGGACCTGGGAAAAACTGCCGGTCAGAGCAGGGGTGCCAGGGAAGTGAGGAGCTGAACAGAGGGAGAGGCCAGCAGGGAAGAAAGGAAGGGGGAAAGAGGGAGGGCCAAGGCTCCGGGAAGGGCGGAGGGTCAAAGATCAATAGGACTTTCTCTGGTGCTGGGAATGCCCATCTCCTGGCTCCTTGCTGCCACTGAGTGGCATGCCCGAGCTGTGCCCCAGCCCTCCTTTTTGCAGCTAATGGAGCCCAAAGTGATTTCAACCTCAGATAAGCAATGGTCAAGAACGTGCCATGCCTTGGGAGGAAGAAGGGACGCTCAGGTCCTGAGGGGTGCAGGGCTCTGATCGGTGCTCTATGGCCAGTTGTAGAACAGGACCGGAGTCACACTCACCTGAGAGCCCTCAGCATCCCATATTCCTGGGACTAGATCCACCTGGGCCTTGAGGAGCTGCAGTCAGATGGATCCTGCAGGAGCAGGGTCCCCGACTGGTAGGCGCTCTTGCTCAGAGTGGAGCACTGGCAGGGGCAGAGTAGTTAGAGGAATGGTTCTCTCTGGCCCTCATCAGGTCAGGACCCTCTTGTGTCTGGGTGTGTCTGATTGTGAGCTGCCTTATGGATATGGAAGGAAAGAGGTCCTTCTCTGTCAGCCTGGCCCTGTGCTTGCAAAGATAAATTAATCAAGCTCGTCCCCCATGTGAGTTCCCCAGAGGCAACTGCTTGGGAAGCCATGTTTATCATCACATGACCCTCCCCTGACTCAGGTCCTTCTTGACACAAAGGAAACCTGCAGACCTTTTACCCTGGTAATGAGACTAATACCTCTAAACATACAGTACTTGCATTCTAAAGGAAGCGTATGTTTATTTGTTCAGTCTTTTGTAACAAATTTTTTTTTTTTTTTTTTGAGAGAGAGAGAGAGAATAAGAGGCCGAGCAGGAGGGGCAGAGGGAAAGGAATACAGAATCGACAGAATCCCTGCGGACTGTGGAGCCTGATGCTGGGCTCCATCCCAGGACCTTGAGATCACCACCCAGTCAAAATCAAGAGTCAGACACTCACCTGACTGCACTACCCAGGTGCCCTGTAACAAAAATTTCTAAAAGCTTTTTACAAAAGTTACAGAAGAAACACTGTCATTTTTAAAAAAGATAAACAGTTCAGAAGGACAAATGAAAAATGGAAGTTTCTCTGCTCTCCCCAGCCCCACTCCCCAGAAGCAACCCCACCAACAGCTTCTGTTTTTAATTCTCCAGTAATCACCATTTATCCCTTTGTATAATATATTTGTCCATTCTAGACAGTATCTCTTGTCTTCTCCCTATGAAGAATGGGAAATTAACTTTGTCATCCCCCTTTACTTTCTACATTCCAATATTTGTTTATAAATTTCTCTTTAGGTCTTGCAGTAGTTGCCTTTAAAATGCTTAGTTTCAGGGTACCTGGTGGCTCAGTCAGTTAAGTGTTTTCCTTTGGCTCAGGTCATGGTCCTGGAGTCCTGAGAGTGAGCCCCATGTGGGGCCCCCAGCTCTGTGGGGAGCCTGCTTCTCCCTCCCCCCAACCACTTGTGCTCTCTCTCTCGCTATTTCTCTCTCTCTCAAATAAATAAATAAAATCTTTAAAAATCAAATAAAATATTGAGTTTCTGTTTCCAATGTATCGACTAAAACCATCATACACTGACTCCTGAAAGAGAGCTTTAGATAATAGCCAACAGATGAGCCTTCTTCTTTTTAAGATTTATTTATTTGAGAGAGAGGGTGAACACTCTATGAGATCATGACATGAGCCGAAACCAAGAGTCAGACGCTTAACTGACTGAGCCACTCAGGCGCCTCTAATAGATGAGTCTTTAATGATGAAAAACTTTGGGGATCTAAGTTAACAGAGGCGGGGAGATGTTTGAGGGCTGCACCCCAGGAAAGCAGCCTGGAAAAGCCCAGACTGTGGAGGAAGGCTGACAGATCTGAGTTCAAACTCAGCTTTTTACCCTGTTTTGCAAAGTTTTATAAACCTTCACATTTCACAACCTCTTTGAATCCATTTTCTCATTTGCCACATAGGGTTTTGGGGGAAGATTAAATGAGTTAATATATGTAAATATGATGTCCAAAACAGAGTTCCTTCTCAAGAAACATCCATTCCCTTCCTTTAAAAAAAAAAAAAAGATTTTATTTATTTATTTGACACAGAGGACGAGAGATCACAAGCAGGCAGAGAGGCAGACAGAGAGAGAGGGGGAAGCAGGCTCCCCCTTTTTTTTCTAATTTGTTTTAAGATTTTATTTATTTATTTGACAGAGAGAGCACAAGCAGGGGGAGCGGCAGGGCAGAGGGAGCGGGAGAAGCAGGCTCCCCACAGAGTAGGGAGCCTGATGCCGGGCTCCATCCCAGGACCCTGAGATCATGACCTGAGCTGAAGGCAGACACTTAACTGAGTGAGCCACCCAGGCGCCCCCATTCCCTTCCTTTCTTTGCCTTCTCGCTCTCTGCCTTCCTGGCGAGGCTGTCTGCCAAAGGCTTGCTGAGGGATTTCTCTGCAGCGGTTTCGTTCCTGGGCCTCTGTGGAAGAGAGTGGAAATGAGCAGCAGTGGGGAGGCCTCTAAAATGTAGCCTCAGTTATTAAGCATCTGCCTTCTGCTCGGGTCAATATCCCACGGTCCTAGGGTCAAGCCCCACATGGAGCTCCCTGCTCCACTGGGAAGCCCGCTTCTCCCTCTCCCACTCCCTCTGCTTGTGTTCCCTCTCTCGTCGTGTCTCTGTCAAATAAATAAATAAAATCTGTGGGGCCCCTGGGTGGCTCAGTGGGTTAAGGCTCTGCCTTTGGCTCGGGTCATGATCTTAGGGTCCTGGGATAGAGGGCAATCCTATCAAAAACCCTTGGTGCCAGGGGTGCTTGGGTGGCTCAGTAGGTTAAGCCTCTGCCTTCGGCTCAGGTCATGATCCCAGGGTCCTGGGATTGAGCCCTGCATCGGGCTCTCTGCTCAGCAGGGAGCCTGCTTCTCTCTCTCTCTGCCTGCCTCTCTGCCTACTTGTGATCTCTCTGTCAAATAAATAAATAAAATCTTTTTAAAATAAATAAATAAATCGGGATGCCTGGGTGGCTCAGTTGGTTGGACGACTGCCTTCGGCTCAGGTCATGATCCTGGAGTCCCGGGATCGAGTCCCGCATCGGGCTCCCGGCTCCGCAGGGAGTCTGCTTCTCTCTCTGACCTTCTCCTTGCTCATGCTCTCTCTCACTGTCTCTCTCTCAAATAAATAAATAAAATCTTTTAAAAATAAATAAATAAATAAATAAATAAATAAAATCTTTGATAAATAAATAAATACATGATAAAATGTAGCCTGTAGACTCAGGTGTTACTTTGATGACCATTACACTCTGTGAGGGGCAGGTATTATTATTCTCATTCCCTCCGTCTTCTGTTTCCTGTCTTGTGAAGAGTTCAGGAGCACTTTCAGGAAAAGGAACCAGATCGGAAGACTCAATGGATTTTGTTCATTCATTAACTCATTCACTTAATAACAAAGATTTTAGGAGGTCCTATAGTAGGCGAAGCATTATGCTTGGGCCTGGGGATTGGCGATCCAAAAGAAACTCTGTCCCCACCTTCATGGAACTTATAGTGGAGTGTAAAAACAAACCAATGTTAATCAACTAAGCAAAGAAATGTAAAGCTGCAACTGTATTTAGTAATCTGAAAAAAAAAAAGGTAAAAGGTGTTATAAGAATGTCTACTGAGGATGTGACCTAGCAAGTGGTAACAGTTTGAACTGAGTTCTAAAGGATGAGTAGGAGTTAACTAGGCACAGGGACCAGCAGGAGTGGATCTGGCAGAAGTCAGAGCAAATGCAAAGGCCCTGTGGCAGGAGGGAGATGTTGAATACAAGGATTAAAAGGTCAATGGGACTATAACAGAGAGGAGGGAGGGAAACACAGTAATGAGGCAGAAAGGGTGGAGGTATCTACACAGGGCCCTGTGATCCACATTAAGGAATTTTGTCTCTCTCCTAAGCACATTGGGAGTCACAGCAAAATCTTGAGCAACAGTGGTGGGATAGGCTGACACGTTCAGATTTAAATTTTCAAAATCTCACCCTGCCTGTTAAATAGAGAATCAGAGGGTACAGAAAGTCTGAAGGAGATCAGTTAGGAGACCACTGCTATAGGGCTTGACTGGGGGAGGTAGTATTGTCAGTAGTGAGAAGGGGTCAGTGCAGAACTACTTAGGGGGTACTATTTAATAGAACTTGGTAATGTAATGGGGACACAACATAGGCAAACTTCATAGACGCCCATACAGGGACACAGACAGGTTCACGCATGGAGCTTTTGTGAGCCTGTTTCCTCATCTGTAAACTGAAGGCTGGGGAGATTTTGCAAGAGCATACAGAATGGCCCCCGTGAACCTCAATGGCACACAAATGAGTTATGCCCATTATGTATGTGTAAGGCTCTTTATTAACATTCTTCCATTTCTGCACTCACACACGTCTCACTGGCCTATGCATGTCACCATTAGTCAATTAGTTTGCCCAAGATAAGGGAATCATGCCCCAAGATAACATGGAAAGAAAAAAGCACCAAGACCGCAGGGCCACGTCAGGATGGGCAAACAAAGAGGGTGCCGGCCTGGGCAGAGGTAAGGGTGTCTGCCCTACTCCCTGGCTTGACCTAGGTCCACTGGTGGGATAAAATAGGCCACAGGCAGACACCATCAGAACTACGCTGCTCTTAAATGCATCTTCCTTGGGGCACCTGGGTGGCTCAGTCGGTTAAGCATCTGTCTTTGACTCAGGTCATGATCCCAGGGTCCTGGGATTGAGCCCTGGCATTGGGCTCCCTGCTCTGCAGGGAGCTTCCTTGGGCCTCCTTCTCCCTTTGCCTCTGCTGCTCCCCCTGCTTGTGTGCTCTCTCTCAAATAAATAAAATCTTTTTAAAATATGCCTCTTCTGGGGGCACCTGTGTGGCTCGGTGGGTTAAAGCCTCTGCCTTCGGATCGGGTCGTGATCCTGGGATTGAGCCCCACATCGGGCTCTCTGCTCCGCGGGGAGCCTGCTTCCCTTCCTCTCTCTCTGCCTGCCTCTGCCTGCTTGTGAGCTCTGTCTGTCAAATAAATAAATAAAATCTTTAAAAATAAAAAAAGTTTAAAAAAATAAAAATGCCTCTTCTTGGGGTGCCTGGGTAGCTCAGTGGGTTAAGCCTCTGCCTTCAGCTCAGGTCATGGTCTCAGGGTCCTGGGATTGAGCCCCGCATTGGGCTCTCTGTTCAGCAGGGAGCCTGCTTCCCCCTCTCTCTCTCTGCCTGTCTCTCTACCTGCTTGTGATCTCTCTCTCTGTGTCAAATAAATAAATAAAATCTTAAAAAAAAAAATGCCTCTTCTTTTCCTTCTCTTATTAAAAATGTTTATTTATAGGGGAGCCTGGATGGCTTAGTCAGCAGAGCATGCAATTCTTGATTTTAGGATCATGAGTTCAAGCTCAATGTTGGATGTAGAGATTACTTTAAATTATTTTTTAAATTTTTTATTATAAAAGAAAAACATGTTCATTTTAGAAATATTTCTAAGTTTTCTAAAACATTAAAAGTTCCCCACAATCCCACCACATAAAAACCACCACTTCTAACTGACATTCTGGCAAATTTCCTTTCAGTCTTTTTTCTACGCATATATAACATAGTTGAGAAAATGCTAATACATAATACATAGTTATTAGGGAAACTTTAAAAACCATTATTATTATTATTCAGGAAATAAGTTTAAAGAAGACATGTTTGTTGTAGAAAATTTTAAAATATAGATTTAAAAAGAAAAATATGAATGATATGTTTGGTGTATTTATTTTCCATTTTTCATAGAGCTTTGCTTGTTTTAAATTTTAATGAAGTTAGATTATTTTGTAACATAAGCATGCTGTTTGATAATTTAATATCTTTTGCATACTTTTTTGTACCACTAAGTAGTTTTGTACATAGCTTTTTTCAAGATTTATTTATTTGAGAGAGAAAGAGTGTACATGTGTGCATGTGAGCCGGGGGCGGGGGTAGGCAAAGGGAGAGGGAGAGAATCTCAAGCAGACTCCCCACTGAACATGGAGCCTGATGTGGGACTCAATCCTACCACATAAGATCACGACCTGAGCCAAAATCAAAAGTCCTATGCTTAAGGGACTCAGCCGCCCAGGTGCCCCTATATGTATCTTTTTTTGACACTACAGAGTTTAAAAGTTTGGACCATGACTCAGAGTAAGGAATTCATTTACTGTCACAATGTACACATATACAAACATGAAATGGAAATTTCTTATGAAGCAAAACTTACTTTTCCTCTGATGTTTTCTTTTTTGTTGTCTGTTTTGTTTTTTGTTTTTTTCCCTCTGATATTTTCAAATTGATTTCATTTTATTTTTTCAAATGCTGACAGCAAGTCAGTTTGTTTTTAAGATTCACTAATGGATTTCAACCTGTTCTATTAGCAGCAATTCCATGATATAGTTACTCAATCCCCTGTTATTAGATATACTGACTGCTACCAATTTTTTGCCATTATAAATAACACTGTTCTAAGCATCCTTGTAGCTATTCCTTTGTTAGAATTCCATGATTTTTTCTTTTTCCTTAAGAGAAATTTCTAGATGTGGAACAATAAGGACAAAGAATGTATAAAATTTTAGGGGAGTTTAATATTTATGGTCATATTAGCTCCTTGGAAAGTTGTACCAAATAAACTGTTTATAGTATGATATCCTAATTTTTTCAGTTAATTAATGTTAGTTATATATTGCTGCGTAACAAATTACCCCCAAATTTTACAGCTTACAACAGTAAGTATTTACTCTATCACCGTTGTAACAGGTGGCTTAACTGGCTCGCCTGGGTCAGGGATTCTCAGAAGGCTGCAAGTCAGCTCCTGGTCAGGGCTGTTGGTCAGAGACATTAGTTCCTTGCCACAAAGACCTCTCTAGAGAACTACTCGCCACATGACAGCTAGCTTCCACTAGAGCCAGGGCACTGAGAGGAAAATGGAAAGCAAGACAAGAAGTCACAGTCTTTCTGCAGTCTAAACCAGGAAGTGACATCCCGAGACTTTTGCTGTATTCTGCTCACCAGAAGCCAGTCGCTAGGCCCAGCAACACTCAAGGGGAGGGGGTTACATAAAGGAATGAATGATGTAGGTCTGGACCACTGCTGGCCATTTAGAGGCCCCCTATCACACTGGAATATTGTGAGAGCATTTCTGAAACTAGTAGAATTCTTTAAAAATGCCCCTTTTAGGCATCATCTGAGAGAACCTGTCCCTTTAAATAAAGACTGAACCAATGACAGCGGCCTCACCTTGAAAAGAATTACATTACTGGGGCTCCTGGGTTGTTCAGTGAGTTAAAGCCTCTGCCTTCTGCTCGGGTCATGATCTCAGGGTCCTGGGATCGAGCCCCACATTGGGCTCTTTGCTCAGTGGGAAGCCTGCTTCCTCCTCTCTCTCTCTCTCTCTCTCTCTCTGCCTGCCTCTCTGCCTACCTGTGATCTCTGATTGTCAAATAAATAAATAAAATCTTTTTTTTTTTTTAAGAATTACATTACTTTCCCCAAAATTCCTGATGAAAATTTGTTGGTTCTGCATTATCAAGAGAAGTCATGGGCTTTGACTTAGATCATTAAAACTGGAATTTTATTTAGGGGCACCTGAGTGGCTCAGGCAGTTAAGTATCTGACTCTTGGTTTCAGCTCAGGTCATGATCTCAGGGTCCTGGGATCCTGCCACACATCAGGCTCTGAGCTCCGCGGGGAGTCAGTCAGCTTAAAGAGTCTCTCCCTCAGCACCTCCCCACTGCCCCACTCACAAACGTCCTCTCTGTCTCTCTCAAATAAGTAAGTCTTTACAAAAAACCAAGCTGAAACTTATAAAATGTATTGCTTATGGATCATTAATTAGAACTAAAATTTAGTCTATAAATGTATTACCCTTCTATTTCAATTATTATTGTCACATAACGAACCACCCCAAAATGTAAAGGTGTAAAACAAACACAGCCTGTAAATTTACTTACCATTCTGCATCTTGGGCGGGGCTTGGCAGGTGCAGTCGGTCTCTGCCAGCCAGCTCAACTGGAGATGAGGATGGAAGATGGCTTCACACAGCTACTCAGCAGGGGCGGGGAGCTGGGAGATGGCTGCACTCCTAGTAGTGGGAAAGTGTAGTTTTTGATGTCAGAGAGACTTGGAATAAAATTTTGGCTCTGTTACTTTTTGCAGGTAACACTTACTGGGCATTCATGGTAGCAAATGTTTAATCTGTGTTAACTCATTTAAGCCTCATAATAACCTATGAAGCCCCACATTGTATGCAAGGAAACCAAAGCACAGAGAGGCTAACTAACTTACCAAAGGCCACACAGAGAATAAATGGCAGATGATAACTAAACCCAGGGGCCTGAGATATAAGCCCACCAACTCAACCCCTATCCAGCCTTGCCTCCCACTCTTTACTCTGTGACCTCAGTGGAGCTAGCGAACTTCTCTGCAAAGTGGAAACTGTTCTCAGAGTTCCTGTGAGCATTAGTAATCATCTCTGTCAAGAGTGCTGGTTAGTGTCTTACCTCAAGGTGATTTGCTCACCACTTGAAAATCAATTTTTTGCTTCAGGCAAGTTAAATTCTGTGGTGAGGGCAGAAGGGCCAGCTGAAGTCAAAGCTGCAAGTGCTATAAAGCCCATGGTTTAGCAATGGAATTGGCTTACCTAGATGTCAATCCTCACTCTGCCCCCTGCCACATTACCTGTCACAACCTGCCTGTTCATCTGTATATTGGGGATAAAAATAATACCTGCTTTCTTGGTCTGAGTATATGAGGCAATGTTGGGAAGTGCTTAGGAACCTAAGGGTCTGGGCACTGTCAGTGCTTGATGAATATAGGTTTTCATAATGGTGTGGATGGATGTAATGATCAATCTATGGTTATATAGATCTATATCTATATCTATCTATATATCTATATATATATAGATAGATATAGATATAGATCTATATAACCACATATATATATATATGGTTACCATAGGTAATAGTCTCCTGCGTTAGGATTCTTGTGTGTATAGTGTACTGGGGAAGGCAAAAATCAACTCACAACAAAATCCTTTCTTCCCAGTAACTGCACAGTCATTTGCTTCACTCCCAGCATAACATCCTTGCCCTATGTCCACTGTGCTGGGGGCAGTGGGAGAAAAGCAGAAAATCCAAAGAAGGGGGACAGACCACAGATTCCCACCCCAACACCCAGAAGGTAGGCAGCTGGGGGATGTTGCAGTTCAGCCAGTAAAATGAATAACAGGTTGGCTACAGGACTTAGTAGGTAAAGCTGCTCTACATGAGAAATTAGGAAGAATGTTCCACGGGGTGGGGTTTGTTAAGTCATTGTGAAAAGGTGTGGAATCTCTTTTTTGGGAGAGCATTAATAGGACCCGTCTTGCTCTGCAGGAATAGTCTTTAAGAGGAGTTCTTCACTCTCGGCTTCAAGGAGCACACGGTTCTGTGAAGGTCATTATCTAAACTACTTTGGTGAGCTGGAATCTCTAGCTTTCAAGGATGGCATTCTGCTGGAAGAGAATGGCCAGCTCTTGACCAGGAACAGCTTCTTCGTGGGAGAGAAGAGGGAACCTGTGCTCCAGGGGACGAGGCAGCAGACCAGTGAGCTAACAGGGACTCAGCTCCGAAGGAGACCTGAACGTAAGCCTTGATACACGGTATGGAAGGGCCTCAAACGCAATGGAGCCACGGCAGGTCCCACAGGGAAGCGTGGAAGAGGGAATTGCCTCAGTTGCTCACTCTGGCAGAAAGGAGGGCTTCCCGGAGCTGGCTAGGGCGGTGACGCTGAACAGGCATCCCGGATTCCAGTTATCTAAGGTGCAACCCCACAGCTTCGGGGGATCTCTTCCTGCCACGAGATGGAAATGATTTCCCGAGGGCTGACGACGCCCGCCAGATCGTCTGCATCGGGCTTTCCCCGGTTTCTCCTCCCCCAGTCCCTTCACCAGCGCCTCAGGCCTGATTGGGAATGACTGTCCCGACCGGAAAGGGAGGCGGGAGGCAGCCACCGCGGAGCGCCCGACCCCCGAGTGGGCGACCTCGCTGCAGCGTCCCGGCGGCGTCCGGGCCCCCGGGGATCCGGCTGCACTTCTGGGGCGCGGGACCCCGTCTCGAGCCTGAATTCGACGGAGCGGACGTAGAGCAGGCCGGAGGGGCGCCGCTCGGAACCCCCGCGGGGAGCAGTCCGCGCGGGAGAGTCGGGGGCCGCGGGGCGGCGGTTCCGCGGGGCTCGGCGGGGCTGGGCTGGCGGAGCGCACCGGGCGTGGGCGGGACCGGCGGAGCCGGGGTTAATGTCCGCCCCGCCCTGGCCGCACTGACTCAGTTTCACCAGAAACCTGAAGAGGAGGAGGCCGAGCCCCAGCGCACCCGGCACCGGGGCGGAAGCGGCAGCCCGAGCCGCGCAGGAAGCCGGGACCGGAACCTCGGCAGGCCGGGCCCCACCCCACTCACCTGCGCAGGTAACCCCGGCCCCGGAGCGCGAGGCGGGGACGGAGCGGGCTCGGAGCATGTTTGGTCCTTTGTTCCGCGCTGCTGCGTGTGTCCGGGTACGTGGGCTCCTTAGCCGTCCATCTGACCGTCCGTCGGGCTGCGGGCTCACCCGGAGTGTGCTTGACGTGGTCCGCGTCCCCTTCCTCACTCCCTGGGCGCGGGGTGCTCCCCGGCCCTCCGCCCGACTTAACTCCCGGCCGGCTCGCCTCCCTTGAAGCGTCGGGCTGATCCCGTGTGTCTCCTTCCCCGTCTCCTACCCTCTTTCAGATCGCTAGCACCCTCGGAGCCCACAGGCCCGCGCAGTGAAGGTGACCCCCGTGGGGAGGATGGCGACGGCCCAGGGGAGGATGATGGCCTGCGCCCGCCTCTCCCAGGCCCGCGTCCCAGCAGTCGCCGTGTGGCTCCTGTGCGCGCTCGACCTCCTGGGCACCGAGGCTGGGCCGCCGCCCGCGCCCCCCGGGCTGCCCACGGGAACCCCCTGTCTGGAGCGCTTTACCGCCGGGGTGCCTGCCTTCGTGCTCGATACCGAGGCCTCGGTCAGCAACGGGGCCACCTTCCTGGGCTCCCCCACCGTGCGCCGCGGTTGGGACTGCGTGCGCGCCTGCTGCACCACCCAGAACTGCAACCTGGCGCTGGTGGAGCTGCAGCCCGACGGCGGGGAGGACGCCATTGCAGCCTGCTTCCTAATGAACTGCCTCTACGAGCAGAACTTCGTGTGCAAGTTCGCGCCCAGGGAGGGCTTCATCAACTACCTCACGCGGGAAGTTTACCAGTCCTACCGCGAGCTACGGACCCAGGGTTTTGGCGGTAAGGACGAGGGAAACGGGTGGGATGGATTTGGAGAAACTTAGAAAGGGGGTTGGTCACGGAGTCCTGGGGAAGGCGAGCGTCAGAAAGCAGTAAGGAGGACGGTCTCTTTTTGCCCCGACTGCTCCTTAGAAGTAGGCAGTACAAGCAGTAAACAAAGGCCAGGCTATCTGAGTGGGGAGGGGAAACATTCTAGAGCCCAGACTCTGGGTCCAGAATTCAGGATGTTGAATGGGCTGGTGTTCCTGGATGTGTGTTTGGGAGAGAGGAGGCAGCTCCTTGCCAGTCCTGGTTCCTGACCGTGATATGCGCAGTCAGGGAGTGAGTTGCCTGGAGGCCGCAGGGTAACTAGGTAAGCACCCCCTGCCAAGCACTGTTCTAGGCACCTTGAGGCCTTGTTGAGTGAGCCTGGGGGAAGATGTCGGCTCTGCTGCCAGGCAGGGACAGGTTGGCTTCTGTCTGTACCCCTGTCCCCATCTGTTGGCCTTTTGGTGGTCTGGAAGAAAGGGCCAGACCCCAGAAGCTAAAAGACAAGCCTGGTCAGGGGTTGACCTAAAAGGGGAAGGGATGGTGTTGTGGGCACAGTACCCAGAGGCTCTGGGGTGGGGGTGACGAGGGTTGCCCTGTGAGTCAGCCCACTGGTATGTGTACCTGGTAGGGGAGGGATGTCAGCTGTCCAGGTGTGTGTGGACGCGGTGAGCCAGGCAGGGCTCTCCCAGCTGAGGATGTGGTAGCCTTGTTTACTTCCAGGGATAAGAGCAAGGTGGGGGCTCTTCCTTCTTCCTGGGACTGAGCAGTGCACTGGGATCAGGGCCCCTCCAGAGACCTTCGTTCCCCATTTTTTCTTCCGCTGCTCTGGCCAGGTGGGGCTCCAGGGCAGGGATGGGTCACAGCTGATAACCTCTGTTAGCACTTGATAGTTGACTGATGGCTGTACCACTCAGCCTCTGACTTCAGCCTCATGACAGCCACTTCTGAAAAGGGTGCTATTAGTCTTCAGCCCACTTTTTAGATTAGGAAACTGACTCCCGTGTTAAATAATTAGCCCAGGATAGCACTGCTTATATATGGGAGACGTGGGACTCAACCCAGGCAGGATCTTCAAAAGTCCCGTGTTGTTTTTCCTGCATAAGACCACCTTTTCTGGTAGAAACCCAGCACTCTGACCCAAAATAGCTCAGGAGATAACAGAAGCAGAGGCTGGGCAATTTGGGGGCTAGGACTAGGCTGGTGCTCAGTCTGGGGGTGGTCTCAGTTCTGGAAAGTGGAAAAAGAGACTGTCTAGCTTTTTCCTGGGCCAGTGTCTCTCTCTCAGGTTAAGGACCTGCTCTTCTCCCTGTCCTTGCAGTAGCTGTCCTGGCTCTCTGAGAAACGGTGGGATGAGAATTCCAGGTGGGGGAGGTGGAGAGTGGGTACCATCTCTGGGCCAGGCTGGGCCACCTGAATCCCACTGGCCCAGGGCCTGAGCCTGTTCCACAAGGAAGTGGCACAGAGTGTAGGTGGAGATGACACTAATTGACCTGAGCTGCTTGTGCCTTCCTGCTCTGATAGAGGGTCCATGGGAGCCCCACTCCAGAACCCGAACCTAAACCTCTGGGTTCTGGTCAGGGAGATGAGCTGGTTGGGGCTCCCTGGTCTTGAGACCAACCTTCCTCATTTGGAAACCCCCCATTCCCCCCCCCGCCCCAGACTGGCCTGTTTGCACTACACAGGGTGGAGTGGGGATTTCCTGGGTCACTGAGGAAGCTGGGTAGGGTGTGAACGGAGTGTAAGCTCCAGGCCATTTTTAAGGGCGCTGCAGAGCTCTGGGGGGTGGAGGGGAGCTATTTGGTATCAAGGAGTCCTTTCTCAGATGAGCCTCGCTAGAGGTTGGAGGTGGGAAAAAGCTGGACAAAGCCATCCTGGAGGCTCAGATGGATCAAGGCAGGCAAGGTGGACAGAGGCTCGGGGCATCTAAACCTTTGATTCTTGCACAGGGTAGAGAAATCCTCAACAGGGTGGGTTAGCTTGTTCCCTTTTCCCTGTCTGTGGCCAGGCCAGTCCAGTCCAGATTCCTTTGGCCTCTGAGCACCCTGGTCTTTCCTTCACTCCCCTCACTTGCCCTCCCCCTCTTTCTGTTGGAGGAGTGGCTTAGGAGGAGGAGTCTGTTTCCTGGAGACGTCCTGAGGCCAGGCAGCTGGGGGAGGGGCTGGCTTTATGGCCACTCTGGCCCTTTGTCCTCTTGAGGGGGTAGGAAGTAGGGAGTAGAAGGGTGGAGCATCTGCCCCTTGCTCCCAGGGCCTGGGGCTGGGTGGATGTGGCTGGTTTGGCCCAAGGCCTGGCGCATCACTCCACTGTCCACTGGGGCTAGCCTGTTGTCTGCTAGGGAGACTGGCACGTGTCTTGTCTTCAGCTTTCTGAAGAATGTAACAAGGGAGGCACCCCTGTGGCCTTGTCTCTCAGAGGTCACCCCCAGAATCTGTTCCTCTTGGACTCTTTTTTTTTTTTTTAAGATTTTATTTATTTATTTGACAGAAAGAGAGCACAAGTAGGCAGAGAGGCAGGCGGGGGTGGGGGTGGAGGGGGGGGGAAGCAGGCTCCCCGCTGAGCAGAGAGTCCAATGCGGGGCTTGATCCCATGACTCTGAGATCTGACCAGAGCGGAAAGCAAAGGCTTAACCCACTGAGCCACCCAGGCGCCCCCAGACAGGGGTTTTTCTTTCCTGCTCTTCTGGTTCTGTTTCCCCACATCCCCGGGAAGCCAGGGCCTCCTTTTCTCATTCTTCTAGGACTCCACATCTGTGTCTGATATGCTTTTCTGTGGAAGCTCTCTCCTCCCATCCCTTCACTGGCCCTGTGTGTCCTTGTCTTCCCCCTTGGGTCCACCCTGTGTGAGTCTACCTCATCAAAGAGGAATCTCTGTGACTCAGCCTCCCACTAGCGTTCTTATCTTTTACCTTCTCTTCTTCCTTTCAATTCACTCTCAACGCTTGACATAACTCTCTGTAGAGCCTTACTAGAGGGCAGTTCAACAATATCCATCCAAACTGTAAAAGGGGGCGCTTGGCTGACTCCGTCGGAACAGTGTGCGACTCTTGATCTCAGGATGGTGAGTTCAGGACCCATGTTGGGTGTGAAGATTACTTAAATTAATAAATAAACAAAAACTTTTTAAAAACCCGGTAAATGGGGACACCTGGGTTGCTCAGTGGGTTAAGCCTCTGCCTTTGGCTCAGGTCATAATCTCAGGGTCCTGGGATCAAGCCCCACATCGGGCTCTCTGCTCAGTGGGGAGCCTGCTTCCTCCTCTCTTTCTGCCTGCTTCTCTGCCTACTTGTGATCTCTGTCAAATGAATAAATAAAATCTTAAAAAAAAAAAACCTTTAAAACAACAACAACAACCACCAACCCCAGGAAATGCACGTAGCCCCCAACACGTTCCACTTGCAGGAATTCATCTTGTGGCCATACTTACATGTGTGTAAACCAACTTAGCAGCCAGTTACTCACTGTTTATAACAGTGAAGAATTGGAAACCATCTAAATGTCCATCAACACAGCCTATAATTGGATATGGTAATGCTGTTTTAATAATAATAATAAACCTGAGGCAGTATGGTTTAGTTCTTAGTAGGGAAGGGAGAGGAGAAGAAAGAAAAAAAGAAAGAATCTAAATCACGAGGAGACCGGTGTACTTGTTAATTAAGTTGTAAGTTATGGTGCATTCATATACTGAGTACTGTGCAGCCAGAAATAAAAGGAAATTGTTTCCGGGGCGCCTGGGTGGCTCAGTGGGTTAAAGCCTCTGCTTTCGGCTCAGGTCATGATCCCAGAGTCCTGGGATCGAGCCCCACATCGGGCTCTCTGCTCAGCGGGGAGCCTGCTTCCCCCTCTCTCTCTGCCTGCCTCTCTGCCTACTTGTGATCTCTCTCTCTCTGTCAAATAAATAAATAAAATCTTTAAAAAAAAAAAAAAAGGAAATTGTTTCCATGTTGCTATGGAATGATTTCCAAAACATACTGTGGGAAAACACATGAAAGAAATCTCGCATGCTTCTGAATTCAGTACTATCTCTCTTGATACTCACAAACACATACACAAAATAGTATGAGTGGATCTCCCACTCCCCCTGCTTGTGTTCCCTCTTGGGCTGTCTCTCTCTGTCAAATAAATAAAATCTTTAAAAAAAAATAAGATTTTATTTATCTGAGAGAGTATGAGCAGGAGGGGAGGGGCAGAGGGATAAGCCGACTCCGCTTTGAGCAGGGAGCTGGGTGCGGGGCTCCATCCCAGGACCCTGAGATCATGACCTAAGCCAAAGGCAGATGCTTAACCCACTGAGCCACCCAGGTGCCCCTCTTTTGTACTTTTTGAATTTTTTATCCTATATATGTACTGCCTAAGTTAAAAACAACCCTGAGATTATAAAAAGTAGTCACAATCACACTTCTAAGTAGATGGGTGACTTACAGCATGGTGTCTTAGAAAGAGCTATGGAGTCAGATAGACCAGGGTCCAGATCCCAACTCTTCTGTTCAAAAACTGAGTGACCCCGGGCAAGTCATTGAACCTCTCTGGTGTCAGTTTTCTGATCTGGAAAGGGGCAAGAATGCAGTTGTGGCATGATGGTTAGGAACGTAGGTGACTTAGATCAAGGGTCAGCAAACTTCCTGTTAAGGTTCAAATAGGAATTATGTTACGCTTTGTGGCCCGTATAATCTTTGTTCCAGCCACTCCACTCTCTTGTAATGCAAAAGCAGCCGTTGACGATATGTAACCGAACAGGTAAAGCTGTATTCCAGTTCATGGACGCACATTTGAAATTTAGGTGCTTTCCCGTGTCACAAAATACTAATCTTCTGGGGCGCCTGGGTGGCTCAGTGGATTAAAGCCTCTGCCTTCAGCTCAGGTCATGGTCTCGGGGTCCTGGGATCGAGCCCCGCATCAGGCTCCCTGCTCAGTGGGGAGGCTGCTTCCCCCTCTCTCTCTGCCTGCCTCCCTGCCTACTTGTGATCTCTCTCTCTCTCTCTCTCTGTCAAATAAATAAATAAATTCTTTTAAAAAAAATACTAATCTTCTGATTTTTTTCAACCATCTAGAAGTATAACCGGTAGTGGGCCAGATCTGGCCTGCAGGCCAAAGTTTGTCAGTTCCTACTGTAGATGATATGGTTGCCAGCAGATTAAGTTAAACTCTTGGAAGCTTTGTCAGTAAACCCAGCTCCATGTCTCTCTCCATCTCTGGCCTCTCTGGAGCTCGCATGCACACTTCTGCTGCCCGCTGGTCACTCCTCTCAGTGGTCTTCCCTCCCTCAAGTTCAGCTTCTCTGATTGAACCCCCCAGGTTCCCTCTAGATTGGGTTTCCTTTCTGTCTGCGTCCTGACTTCTTTTCCACCTGCCAGTGCCTGTCAGATAATGGAAGCATCTGTCCGACATTCTTACCACATCCTCCTTTCCATTCCCTCTAATTCCGAGTACTCCCTTTGCATGTGCCCTGAACTGCTGTGCTGGTCCCCTCACTGGCCTCCTCACTTCAGAGAAGTAATTCAAGATGGGGAGCCTGGGTGGCTCAGTTAGTCAGGCATCTGCCTTCAGCTCAGGTCACGATCCCAGGGTCCTAGGATCGATTCCCACATTGGGCTCCCTGCTCAATGGGGGGTCTGCTTCTCCCTCTGCCGCTCCCCCTGGGTGTGCTCCTTCTCTCTGACAAATAAATAAAATCTTTAAAGAGGGGGGGAGCACCTGCGTGGCTCAGTTGTTTAAGTTGTTTAAGTGTCTGCTGCCTTCAGCTCAGGTCATGATCCCAGGGTCCTGGGTCGAGCCCCACATCGGGCTCCCAGCTTAGTGGGGATCCTGCTTCTCCCTCTCCTTCTATCTCCCTGCTTGTACTCTCACTCTCTGTCAAATAATGAATAATTTTTTTTTAAAGGGGGGGCAGTAATTCAGGACAGAGGGATCACTTGCTGTATCCTGGAGCTCAGGAGGGCCCCTTCCTCTAGACTCCTGGACCTCGATCATGCATCTAGGAAGTCCATGTCTGGTGCAGCCCTGGGCTCCAGGACCCTGCCACTGCTCATGGCCATGGCTGTTCCCTTCCTGTAGCGCCAGTTCTTAAATGTTTGAATGTCATTTCTGCTGTGTCTGCGTGCTCTGGCTCCTCATTGAGAGCCCTTTGAGGTATGTCTCACCACGCTGGCCTTTTCTTGTCCTCCAGACCTGCCTTGCAAAACCCCAGCTCCTTTTTCTGGCTCACGTTTTCTGCTGTTATCAATAGCACAGCACATTCTTCCCCACGGCCAAACCAAAAAAAAAGACAAAAATTAAAAAATTAGAAACTCATTACTCCACTGTCCACTGGGGCTCTGACTTCCTGTGGCCTCTTCCTGCTCGGCCTGTCCGCTTCCTTGTCTGGGACACGCACCATGCATTGCTTCATCTTGACTGGTCTTTTCTCCCATGTTGCTTCCTGGTGCTCAGTGTCATCTGCCCATCAGGACTGGAGTCCCCTCAAAGGCAGCATCTCCCTTCCTGTAGCTGCTGAAACAAAGTACTACAAACCAAACCACAGAATTTTTTTTTTAAAGATTTTATTTATTTATTAGAGAGAGAGAGTGGGAGAGAGCATGAGTGAGGAGAAGGTCAGAGAGAGAAGCAGACTCCCCGTGGAGCTGGGAGCCTGATGCGGGACTCAATCCCGGGACTCCAGGATCATGACCTGAGCCGAAGGCAGTCGTCCAACCAACTGAGCCACTCAGGCGTCCCCAAACCACAGAATTTTATTGTAGTACAGTTCGGGAGGCCAACAGTCTGGAATCCAGGTGTTGGCATGGCCCAGGTCTCCCTGAAGCGTCGGGGAGGAGCCTTCCTGGCCTCTTCCAGCTCCCGGAGGCTCCAAGTGTTCTTGGCTGCGGCTGCATCACTCTCATCTCTATCTCCGTCTTCACACGGCTTCCCTTCACTCTGTTTTCTCTTCTTCTGTCTTCTATAAAGACATGTGTCATCGGATCGGCCTAGGCAGCTAAACCCAAATGATCTCATATGGAGATGCTTAACTTTGTTGCTTCTGCCAAGACCCTTTTTCCAGAGAAAGTCACATTGACAAGTTCTGGAGTTAGACATAGATATGTAGTTTGGGTCCCAGCATTCATCCTAGTATAGGCAGGAATCCTGCTTTGATCTTGTTTCTCCCAAGCCCCTAACTTGAGACTGGGGGAAGCCACAGGCACACGCATTGTCAGACTGAGGGAGGGTGTGACTCCCTGGAGACCCCTCGTAAGGGGAGGCAGAGTCCATCTGCAGTGCCAGAGGCAGGCACTCTCCTCCCATGGCTGTGAGCTCTGGGACACCAAGGCTTGCCATGTTGCTGCCCAAGGACTCTGTTCTTCAGACCTCTACCAGGCTGGCCTTCCCAGCCAGCAATCCAGACCAACAAAATGAGGGGTAGTAGTGTTACTTACTTGGCTTTTCAAAAAATATTGTTACTTAACTTCTTTTTTTTTTAAGATTTTTATTTATTTGTTTGACAGAGATCACAAGCAGGCAGAGAGGCAGGCAGAGAGAGAGGAGGAAGCAGGCTCCCTGCTGAGCAGAGAGCCTGATGCGGGGCTCGATCCCAGGATCCTGGGATCATGACCTGAGCCCAAGGCAGAGGCTTTAACCCACTGAGCTACCCAGGCACCCCTTACTTTAACTTTTTAAAGCAGTTAGCAGAAGTACCTGGTTGTTACAGAAAATGGGAATAAGCTCCTCTCTCATGTATATTTTTTCCTTATTTGGGATCAGATGGCACATGCTGTTCCGTATTTTGCTTCCAGAAGCAGGTTTTACACTAAAAATGCCTTCAGGGGGCGCCTGGGTGGCTCAGTCAGTTAAGCATCTGCCTTGAGCTCAGGTCCTGGGATTGAGCCCCGTGTTGGGTTCCTTGCTCAGCAGGAAGCCTGCTTCTCCTCTCCCTCTGCCCCTTCTCCCCTGCTCATGTTCTCTCTCTCACTCTCTCAAATAAGTAAATAAAATCCTTAAAAAAAAAAAAAAATGCCTTCAGTATACCAAAGACACATCTAAATAGAGGGCAGGATGCTGATTTAGTTGTGAGCCCCTGCCTGGGCCCTATGCATGCTACTGAGCCCCTGTGTGGCTCCGTATTGTCCCCCGCCCCCTTCAGGAGAGCTCTGGTCCATTCTGTGAGAGTTGACCTGACCTTAACCTTCCTCTTCAGCGCCCCGGATCCCCAAGGTCCGGGCAGGCATAGACTTGAAGGTGCAGCCCCAGGAACCCTTGGTGCTGAAGGACATGGAGAACACAGATTGGTACCTACTACAGGGTGACACGGATGTCAGAGTAGAGGTGAGACACTGGACTGGCTCCCTGACTCCCACTTCAGCTCTCCAGGGCCCCCTTTCCAGGGCCACAGGCCAATCTGAGTTTCCAGATGGGTGGGGTGGATAGAAGCCAAGGATCCCTTTAATACCAAGCCCCTATGCCCTCCCTGTGGGGGTGGCTGTGTGGCAGGGAGGACCTGGGGCAGCCCAACGGCATCCGGGGGTCCCAGCCTTATGGCTCTTCCTGTGTGTAGAAGAATGAGCCGGACCAGGTGAAGCTGTGGGGACTCAAGGAAGGCACCTACGTGTTCCAGCTGACAGCGGCCCATTCCAACCAGCCAGAGAGCATGACCAATGTCACAGTTACTGTGCTATCCCCCAAGCAGACAGAAGGTGAGGGAGGGGGTAGGGAGGCCGTTCGTGGAGCCAGCCCTCTCTGTTGATGGGGCCCCTCACAAGATTTCCCTTCCCCCCAGAATATTGCCTCGCGTCCAGCAAGGTGGGCCGCTGCCGCGGTTCCTTCCCCCGCTGGTACTACGACCCCAAAGAACAGATCTGCAAGAGTTTCGTTTACGGAGGTTGCTTGGGCAATAAGAACAACTATCTTCGGGAAGAGGAGTGCAAGCTAGCCTGCAGGGATGTGCAAGGTGGGCCTTTATGGGGTAGCTTTGGGGCTCAGGTGACTTTCCCCATGGGTGGTCTCTCTGAAGGTCAGGGCCGCGGGCGGGGGAGTCCTCCATTTCCAGGCGCCCCTGTCAGCTCATCCCTGCCAGGACCTGGCACTGACTCCTCTCACTCATCTGTTTTCTTTCTTCTAGGCCCCTCACTGGAAAGGCACGGTCCGGGTGAGCTTTGCTCCTTTCCCTATTCCCCTCACCTCGGCCAGGTCATGGCTTTGTCGCCGCCCCAGCTCCCTTTGCCCAGCCCATTCCTGCCCTCATAGGATGTGGAAGGACCACAAGTGTCCCACCCCTTGCTGCCCAGCACCCTGTCAGGATCTGCCCAGTTTGTGTGCGGGAGGGCTTGTGGGGGGGCGGGGGTGCCAGTCGGGGAGAAGGGGACATGTCACAATGCCATGTTGGGGTGGAGGAGGCCAGGTCGATGATGGACTCTTGGTACCTGGTGACCTGTGCTTGAGCCTGACCTCACCCTTATTGCCATCCTGCCCCACCCAGTGTGCTCTGGCACCTGTCACCCCGCCGAGTTCCGCTGCCGCAACGGCTGTTGCATTGACAGCTTCCTGGAGTGTGACGACACTCCCGACTGCCCCGATGCCTCCGACGAGGCCACCTGTGAGAAATGTGAGGCCTAGGAGAGGGAGGGGCAGTGGGCCAGGGTGGGGGAGGCCTGCACTGTGCACCCTGCACCCCGGGGGAGACCCCTGTGGGGCCTGGGCCTCTGACCTTTCACCTTTGCAGACACCAATGGCTTTGAGGAGCTCCAGAACATCCACTTCCGCAGTGACAAAGGTGAGATTCTCCCCTGTGCCCAGGGTCGGGACAGAGGCGGGCACTGCTGTCTTCCCTCACTGCTCCAGGGTGCCTGAGGGGCCTGCTGGGTTTGTCCCCTGCAGGTAGAAAGCTGGTGGGCAACTAGGCTCTTTTCATTTCCATGTTTCCCAAGCATGGGTCCTCCTCTTAACACCTTCAGAGATTGAACCATGCCTGTATATCACCGAGACGTGATTTACTTAGCATTTTTCCTATAAATCAAGTACTTTGTTTTTTTTAAGAGTTAATTTATTTGAGAGAAGGAGAGAGAGAATGAGCAGGAAGGAGGGGCAGAGAGAGCGAGAGAGAGAAAAGCAGATTTCCTACCGAGCAAGCAGGAATCCTAGTATCCTGGGCTCAATCCCAGGACCCCGAGATCATGACCTCAGCCGAAGGCAGACGCTTAAACAACTGAGCCACCAGGTGCCCAAAGTCAAGTACTTTTTAAACTTAATGTATTATAAATAAACAAACTTAATGTATTAAAGGAAATGTCATCTCACTAGCATACATTGAAAGCCACTATTACATGCTGCAAATCGAGATGAACTATTAAAATAACCATAATAAAACAACGTTAATAGGGGTGCCTAGGTCACTCAATGAGTTAAAGCCTCTGCCTTCAGCTCAGGTCATGATCCCAGGGTCCTGGGATTGAGCCCCGAATCCGGCTCTCTGCTTGGCAGGGAGCCTGCTTCCCAGCTTCCCATCCTCTCTCTCTGCCTGCCTCTCTGCCTACTTGTGATCTCTATCTGTCAAATAAATAAAATCTTTAAAAAAATGTTAATAAATTTTAGCCCTAGCCCCGGTAGGGCTCAGACCCTGAGCCTTCTTTGTTAAAAGATAGACCATCCAGTGTTGGATAGAAAAACCAAGACCTTGACACAATTGGAAAAGCTGAAAGAAAATGAAAATAAATTAAATAAATAAATAAATAACAATAAAAAAGTTACACAAGTCAATGGAGGGTATTTCTGGGCCTGAAATTGTTGTCCAGGATCTGTCTTCCTTGTTTCTGGCAAAACTGCCAGAAGGGCCAGATGTTTCTGGGGCCCCCTGAAGCCCTCCCTGCGTCTCAGCATGAGGCAGGAAGCAGTGACCCTGTGGAGCCTGGTGAATGGCAGCAGGGAGGCCCCCCATGGACCCGCTCACCCCTTGGCCTGCTCTATACCCTCCCAGGGCACTGTGTGGACCTGCCAGACACAGGCCTCTGCCAGGAGAACATTCCACGCTGGTACTACAACCCCTTCAGTGAACGCTGTGCCCGCTTTACCTATGGTGGCTGTTATGGCAACAAGAACAACTTTGAGGAGGAGCAGCAGTGTCTTGCGTCCTGTCGCGGTGTCTCCAGTGAGCTGGGCAGTGGGGCTCAGGTGGGGGGACGGGAAAGGGCTCAGCTAGAGCACTGTGCTCTGTCTCCAGGCCTGGGCCAGTCCTGGCTCATCATCAGAGTACCCAGAATGAGGGTGGCGGAGGGTGGCAGAGGGTGGCAGTGGGTGGTCTGGGGCGCTGAGGAGCAGCTGAGTCTCAGAGCCTTGAGTATTGACTTGTTTCTCTCCTCATCCTTTTGTAGAGAAGGATGTTTTTGGGCTCCGGCGGGAAAGCCCCATTCCTAACATAGGTGAGCCCTGGTCTGCCCTCTCATGGACGGGTGGGTGTCCTCCTGTGTGGATTAGCTCCGTGTGATCAGTGCTGACTGCCGAAACCTGTGTTGAGAAGGATCCTGAGGTTGGCTAAAGGGATAGAGTGCCCATAGCCACAAGCAGAGGAAGGAAGCATGGGAAAGTGCATGTCATACGTTTACCGTCAGAGTTCCAGGCCTTTCTTTGAGCTCCTGATGGAACCCAGCTGCTCATTCGCTGGAGGTCATTCCACACCTGGCATCCATCTGACTTGGTCCTTCTGCACAGAGTGGGGGTGGGCATCAGAGCTGAGCAGGCCTTGGGAGCTCGCCTCCATTATGCCCCTTCTTCCCCCAGGCTCCGTGGAGGTGGCCATTGCAGTCCTCCTGGTCACCTGCATCGTGGTGGTGACAGCCCTATTGGGTTACTGCTTCTTCAAGGACCAGAGGAAGGGCCTCCACAGATATGGCCACCGCCGCCAGCACCACCACCCTCAGCCCCCTACCCCTGCCAACTCTACGGTCTCCACCACAGAGGACACGGAGCACCTGGTCTATAACCATACCACCCAGCCCCTCTGAGCCTGGGGCTCTCACAGCCTCTTTCCAGCTCTTGCCTGGCCCTGCTTCCTCCTCACCAAGATGGAAGCCTGGGCCAGGGAAAACTGCGGGACCAGACTCCTACAGCCTGGTTCCCAGGCCCACTCTGCTTCTGAGGCAGGGCTCTAGCCCCTCTGGGAGACATCTCAATGAAGCTTAGGCCTCCCATTCCTGACAAAGCTCCAGGGTCTAGGAGGAGCCGAAAACCTTTGAGCCGAGTCCCACACACAGATGGACCTGTTTGCCTAGGATTTCAGAAGAAGTTGGAGTTTTGTTTCTTGGTCACAGTGGCCTGTCCCCACCCTGTGGCATTGGGAAGGGGCCTGTGGTAATGTCAGAAACTGGAGGTCCCCCAAGCCCTCCCCTTCCCACTCTGCACAGACCCTAGGGTCAAGGACGTCCCTGTATATTTTGCGCTGTAAAGTTGCTTTTTTTGTTTATTTAATGTCATGGGGATGGGTAAGAGGAGTGGAAAGAGGCTGCCTCTTCCCTTCCTCCAAGAATGAGGCCTGGCGCGGCCAGCCAGCAACTGCTGTGTCCTCCCCACATGCCCCAGGCTCTCAGGCATCACACCTCCACCCGCTCCCCAGCCTTCCACAGGCCCCAGTCCACCCACAGGGTAATAAAATGGTTGGTTCTGTGAGGCTGCTGCCTCTGCTCTGTGGGGCAGGAGAGGGACAGGGCTGCTGGGGAAGAGGGGAGGCGGTGGAATAGGACCGCCCTGTACAACCGGTTCCGTGGTTCCCGGGTTCCCGCTTTGGCCGCCCTGCTTAGCAGGTTTTCCCACCCTTCCCGAAACTGCCCCGCAGCCCCTGAGGGTGGAAAGAATTGCCAAGTTTGACCACCAGAGGGGAGAGGTGAGAGGGCCATGGAAGAAGGGGGCCCAGGGAGGCTGCTGTGCTGCCTGGTAGCATTATGTCTTCCTGGTTTGAGCCCTGTCAAGCCTGCTTGGTTGCTGGGGCAGATCCTGAGTGCTGTGTGTAGTGGGGAACTCAGGGGCAGGGAGGGAGCATGGCGTTGAGCTCTGGGTCTTCACTCCTATTGGTGTGGGGGCCTAGGTCACTGCTGTCTCCCCTGCACCCCACCACCAGAGAAGTTTTGGCCTCTTCACAGGAGTGTAACTGCTCCCCAGGCTCTGAGCTCCTGCCCAGGGGCCTTTAACTGAGGTACTCCACCCCACACCCCGCTGTGTTTCAGCCAGTTTTTGTTTGGTTAAAAACAACAACAACAACAACAAAAAAAAAACCCATGCTTTCATTAATTTCTTCAACAAATTATATATTGAGCTTCTATGTGCCCTACACCTCCAATCGGATGTTGTCAAAATAAGCATGCAGGAAGCATTGCGTAAGTGCTTTATGTATCTTAAGTTCTTGCCTGGCACCCAGCCCCGTGATGAGGGAAGGTACTATTATTATCCCCCATTTTCCAGGACGCTGACTCAGCAAAGCTGAGTTCCCAGGGTCCTAGAGGTACTAAGGACTGGGTTCAAATCCTAACATGGCTCCTAGTCTTACCAAAGAGATACTTTTGGACTATAATAATTGCTGTACAGAAAAATAACACGGAGGAGCACCTGGGGGGCACAGTCAGTTGGGTATCCAGCTCTTGGTTTCAGCTCAGGTCATGACCTCAGGGTCATGGGATTGAGCCCAGCTTCAGGCTCCAAGCTTGGAATGGAGTCTGCTTGGGTTTCTCTCTTACTCTCTCACTGCCCCTCCTGCCCATGATCTCTTTAAATAAATCTTAAAACATGAAGATGTGAAAGGTTGGGGGCTACAAATGATTGCAGGTAAGGGTACATATTTGACTCCTGGAAGTGTACAGCTCCATGAATTTCCATAACCACATGCACCCAGGAGGCAAGCACCCGGATCAGGAAGCAGAACCTTGGGCGCCTGGCTGGCTCGGTTGATTAAGTGACTGCCTTCAGCTCAGGTCATGATCCTGGAGTCCCAGGATGGAGCCCTGCCTGCATAGAGCTTCCTTCTCAGCCCGGAGTCCCCTTCTCCCTTTGACCCTCCCCCCTCATGCTCCCTTGCTCGCTCTCTCAAAATCTTTTTAAAAAGCAGAACATTTCTAGCACCCCAGGATGAGCCTCCTGTGTTCTTGTAACTGTCGCGCACTCAAGCTGGACCACATCCTCCTTTCTCATCTTTTGGCCGAATTGTTCTTCCCCAAAGGCTCCCACGCTCGCTCAGGTGGGAGACACGCCCTGAGCAGAGAGTGCTCCCTTCTCTCTGTCTCTTTATCTGTCTTCCCTCTAGGTTGTGAACTCTGGAGACAACAGATGGTATCTTTGTAGTCTTGGGTCTCCATGACCCCACATCCCCTCCATGACCTTAGTAAATGGTAGTAGATAGATGGCAGGGGCTAGTCTCATTACTCTGGTCCCCCCCATTTCAAAGGATATTGAATTTTGGCTTCCTACTCTGCCAGCCATTCATCCATCCTTCAAGACTCAAAAAGGTTTCGGTTCCTCTAGTGCCCCTAGCCCTGGGGACAACCTCCATTATCCCTTGGATCTCTGCAGCACCTCCAAGGCTGAGGTGATGAATGACTCATGAAATTCTGTAGCCCAATGCCTCCAACAGTGATCAACGAAAAATAAATGCTTAATTATTTGCTGGACAGAAAGGAACTTCCCCCTCTTAGGGAGGGGTGGAGATGAGGTGAGACGATGCCAGACAAAGTGCTTTCCCCGGGGTGCAGATCAGGGGTGCAGGGAGGACTGCCCGGTCAGCTAGGACAACGGGAAGAAGGATCGCACAGGGGCCGCTAGGGGGCACTCTCACCACTACCAGGCGCTGTGGTTTTGCAGAAAGCGTTTGAGCAAGGGTACACAGTCCCAGGCAGGCAGCAGGTGTGGAACCACAAAAGCTGAGACACAGCCTCCACTCTTCTAGAACTTAAACTGGAGCGCAAGCAAAAAGAATGCAAATACTGTCAGAAACAGATTGGTTCCCAAATCTCTTTTTTCGGTGACTTTCCCAGCCATCCTCTTTTCCATCTCCACCCTTTCTCAGAACTTTCACATCTCCATTCCTTTGCACAGGCTGTTGCCCCTACCTCAAATGCCTTTCCCCCAGAAAGCCTCAACTTACCTCGTGATGAGGCTCAAAAAGTGTTTGCTGTTTCTCCAGCCAAAGCCCATTGCTGCCCTCTCCACTCACCTGCGCTGTGTACAGCTCTGGGGCATACATGGCCCGTGGTAGTGTAGGTCTGCCCTCATCTGGAGGAGGCTCCTCTGGCAGGGCTGGGGATGGGCTTTTTTTTTTTTTTTTTCTTAATGGTAATTTAATTTATTTACGTGATCTCTGACGCAATACGGGGCTCGAGCTCACGACCATGAGATCAAGGGTCACGTGCTCCTCTGAGCCAGTCAAGTGCCCCAGGGATGGAGACTTATTTTACCTCAGTGTCCCCCATGCCAGGCTATGCTTGGTGATACAAGGTGTCTAACAAAAGGCTGTTGAATAAAATGGAGGCTGGTCGAGCCATGAAAATTAAGAGGGAGGTTGAGAAATGGCTTCATGGAGGAGTTATAAAAAGAGATGAGCAGGCGGGTGTGGGTGTTTCAGGCACAACAAATCATAGTGAGCAAAAGCCAGGCAGTGAAGACCATGGGTCTCATTTTGACCAACGAGCTGCTCAATTTGACTCAAACCCTGAGAGGGAAAGCCAGGAGCTTGGTGGGTAGAGGCAATATTGGTAAATATGTTGGTGAAGACAGATTTGAGCCGGGGAAGGAACGATTCAAACTCAGCTTTAAGGAGTGGTTAGGTAAGCAGTTCATATCACTAGAGGTCACGCGATGGGAGAGGGAAAGAGGGAGAAAAGCCACACCAAGTAAATGAGGGTAACCTGTGTAAAGTACGTTAGATGTGAAGGAAAGCTAATCGAAAATTTCCATGCTGGCAGCCAATCATGCTTTGATGCAAACAGCGGTTTAGCTTCTTTGATTAGTTACTAACATTTAAAGATTCAGAAAATTCATTTTTTAAAAATCTGCTTTTCTAGCTTTTTGCGAAAACTTGGGAGACTGGCAATCTGGGGCTCACATTCCTACAGCAATCCGGGCACTGAGTTTGGGTCCTCCTGAGCTGGGCAGACACTGAGCCATCCATAGCCTCCATCCAGCCCACCACTCCTGGCATTCATTCAACTTTGGGACCTGCATCATCTTATCCCCTCTAACCCAACCTATCTTCCAATATTGGGGAGTTTTCTCTAAAATTTATTGGTCCCAACAGTTCCAATAAACACCGACAAAATGAGTTGTTTCTCCTGAAATCATCCCTGCCCACTTAAAAAAACAACCCTGAATCAGGAGTGGTTTGCCCTATTGTACAAGACCCCTCCCTTCCCCACCCAGCTGCTAAACTACAGCCTGGGAAGGCACTTTCCAGTTCCCCTTGGGAGGGGGTGCTGTCAGTAGCCCTATCTGATAGTCCCAACCCTAGAAGGCCAGGTTGGGGGGAAGGAGGGGAGGAGGGTAGGGTCCAGACTCTCCCACAGGGTCCCCCAGAACATCTGCTTTTTCTAACCTCCAACTGCAGGGTCATCTGGGGGTTCCATCAGTGAATCCCGGAACCAAGATGACCAAGAAAATAAAGCAAGAAAGAAATCGAGAGGCTCCTTGTGGCAGAGTTTAAAAAAAGGGGGGGGGTGGCTATATGTTTAGAACAACAAAACTAAAAAAGGGTATTTAGCCAAATGTTCCCTCTCATTGATAAAATTACAGGTGTTTTTTGTTTCCCTTTGGTCAGCCTGCATTTTCTACATTTTCTATAAGAAATGTCTATTGCTTTTGTAATAAAAAGTTACTGGTTTGAAAAAGTATCCACGTATATTCCAGTAAGAAACAAACCTTCAGACCATGCCGCTCTGTGATGGGATGGAGACAGTGGGGAAGAAAAAGAGGAGAGAGCTTCTGAGATCTAGGGAAGGGAGAGGCTGCAAGACTTGAAGGCTGGAGTATGAAAAGGGAGAAACTGAGTCAGTAGAGTCTGCAGGTTTTCTGTCCTTGGAGCCTGGGCAGGTGACACTGCTGCCCACAGAAACGGGGCTGTGTGGGCAGGGCAGTCTCGAGAGAATCATAGAGAAGATGAGGGGCCCCCAGCTACCAGAAAGAGACTGGTTTTATTGATTTTATCGTTGGTTACTTAGTTTTTGTTTGCTTATGCCTTGCCTTCCTGAGGAAGGATTTAAAAACAGCTTAAAAGTCTCTATAAAATATGAAATAACATGAGTATAAAGTAGGAAGAAGACAAAAAAGAGCAAGAAGGAACATTTACAAAGACCAGGAATAGGGGGCCTGGGTGGCCCAGTCGGTTACAAGTGTGTGTTCGGCTTAGGTCATGATCTCAGGGTCCAGGGATC